AAATCAGTAATTCAGTTAAAAAGTTTATAACATAACACCTGATGACGGCTCTATGATAGCCGAAACATGTCGTAAATGTTCCACATGTAAATCGAGTACTCGATACGGTACGAAAAATGATATTTTAATCTTTTAATTATCTTATATTGTGATTGTCGGCCAATTTTAATATATTTTTAATACTATTTAAATAAATCACAATATGACGCACCTACAATATCTTATAATATTTTGAAAGTCATACTTATACATTTATCCTTACATAAATTTACTTAATAGAATCTGGAAGAACCTAACATAACCTAACCTAACATGTCTTAATCTGGCCTAACCAAACTTAGACGGGCCTGATATAGCCTAACCTAACCTAAACTAATGTGTCCTAACCAAGTCAACTAACCTGTTATGATAAATGAAATGTTAACATACACGAACAACTTGTATGATCCTGCTTGTATTAGTAAGAACCATGATGCCATATCAATCATAGTAAACATTCCAAGAACACATAAAAATGATTACCAATGGTAACCATGGTAATCATTGTAAACAAAAACATTCTGGCAACGATTTCTCCTTATTTACCACCAGATCAACGCACTCCAATGTCCACTTCACGAATTTCCTCACCCGTCATGATGTTATCACGAATAGTATGACGCGTTAAAGTAAGATTTTGAGGTCGTTCGGAACAATACCATGTTTCATCCCAAACCTTCAAGTGGTAATTGGGTAGAATCAACTGGACAGGAGGACCGGCGGACAGACACAACCAGCCCATAATGCGTTCTCCCCACGCACTTCGTGCAAAAAACGCATAATAACCTATCCCGTCCTAAAAACAATTTCGAACTTTGACCACCAGAGTGCAACACCTCACTGGCCAATTTCTAAATTTCGTAATCCGTAATTTAATTATCACTGATCGTAGCACAATTAAAAGCACGCTATGTGGCAGGCCCCAACGACAGAAGCTCCATATCAAATTTCTTCCCAGTTCATTCAATGGTTGTCCTGTGATTCTTGAGTAAAGACATCCAGACAGACGGACAGACGGACGAAATGACAGAACGTTGTAATTTATAATGCATTATCCAGAAACTTCGCTCAAATAAAGCGTAATAATGTTTTTGTAGCACACCATCACCATAAAAATTTTATTTCTCTATTCGTCTTAGGGTTTTTATTTTGTCATTTAATAAGTTATCATCAGTACCACTTATTACATGGTCTAATTTTAAACTGAATTCTTATATAATTTCTTTAATTTTAATTACGTGTTCTAAGGCGAAGCGTGAAAGCAATGGCGATGAAGCAGTTTCTTGATTCAGGATGATTCTGGATCATGAAATACAGTTCATCCCCTTCAAGAGATTTCGTTCGAATGCACTTCAAGTAACCTAGTTACTTTTATAGGACATTCGATGGAACATGCAACATTTTAAGGGCATAACTAATAATTCGATGTATTTATTTCATGATTAAATTAGGGCTTTACATAAATTTTGAAGTCCTCAAAAGTCTATTTACTTTGCAACGTAATTAGGTTCTACATACATAATATCCTTGCAAATTTACAGTTTTCATATTTTCTGTGAAAGTAACAAAAAACTAATGCGTTTCAGAACAGCTGGATGTTTTGTCGCCGACAGCTCAACACTTGTCTCCTAAGCCACTCTATGTTAATTATTTTAAACACAATTTTATCGTTTCCCATACAGCTGAGTCCTCAGTGCGTATAAAATATTAATATTTTTCTTAAAAATTTGAAATTATTAACTGACTTCAGAGAAACGGCAGTTAAAGTTCAACGATTGTAGTCTAGGACTAAAGTTTCAAGACATCCATAAACCTTTTTTGGATGCTTTTATTAATTACGACAGTAACAATTGGCAACCACATAAATTATCTGTAAATATAGGTGCAAAATTAAATACAAATATATTGTAACGTATGGGAAGTGCCTGCTGACACCCTATCGGCATTAATTTATTGTGGTAATGTATTTTTATTTTCACTTGATTGGTATTTAATGTGTTACATTTATAATAAAGAAATAAATTCTTTGTAATTTAATGAACACGTGCATCAAAAGTATTTCAGTCATACTTAAGAAAACTAATATTTTATAAGGACCACCACTAGCTTTGGTTGGTATTCTGAAATTCGGTGTCTGAAGTTTTGTGAGTCGAGTGTACAGCTGAGTTACGACGAAACTATCGGGGCTGACAGCTTTACGAGCTGCAACTGCCTGAGAAGCAAGACATTTTTCTCCATCAGGGATGTATATTAGTGCCAGCTACTGCAGCTGGCAGACCACCTCACCTCGTAACCCTCTGTATGACACAGGAAAAAGGCACCTCTATGTGTCCGAAGAGATTTCACGGAGGCTGCAGGAACCATTCACTGACGTGACTTCCCACCGTAGCATCCTCATAATTATAATTATATCTATTCTAATTTGCTTTTGATCCAGAGCAAAATCCTTTACTGCAGTGCACAAGGTGTTGCCTATATTCGTGTGTTATCTTTTCTGGGAGAAGTAAAAAGTACATACTAAGTTTTTAATTTGAAAACCTCAACGGAAATTAGACTTGAGACTGATAATTAAATAGGAAGGTAATATTACAGTGAGTCTGAGTAAACAGGGGTAAAGATTTGAACCGGGTTCAACTGATTCAGGAAAAGATCCAGTAGATTACTATTCTCAACAAGGTAATGGAATTTGTAATTCCCTAAAAGGCGGAGATTTTAATAACCAACTGAGCAATTACCAGGTTCACAATAAGAACATGTTTTGTATACACAGTGTGAAGAATGTGATAATTAAGTTTGACTAGTCTGATTAAAATGGCAATTATTGATTGAGGCAGTAAGCACCCTTCAAACGTCTGTTAATGTCTATCAGACTAAGAGGTGCAGCATTCCGGAAAGACATTTGAAATTTTACAGGACTGACAGATATCTCTCTCAAGTGATAATTTTAGTAAATCTATAATCAAATTTCTTTCAGTATACATTTAGCTGCGACACTAGTAATAAATAAATAATTACTCGTATTTCTCTTAATAGGCCTGAGAAAGAGAAATAATGTTCTTATAACGAGACTGAATCAATTGTGTCGATATTAAGCGAACCACTTACTGTGTCCAGTTAAGATTAACGACTGTTTAAAAGTAAAACATTACCACTAAAACCTTACACAATGTTACGCAACCAAATACAATAGAAATAAAATTCTGAAATAAATATCTATGCCAAAGTCTGCATTATAATTTATAAAGTTCTTTTGTACTTTCTTCATCATCAGAATTAAAAAAAAAATAAAAGTGCAATATTTCGGAAATTGATGTGTCCCCTGGTTGTTTGGTTAACCAGGGGGTCCAAAATGTATATTTTCTGTCACTTCCAATCCCCTCCCGCCTACCGAAGCTATTGGGTCCCGTGGTTGAGCTAGATTAACCAAGAGAGGACCCAACAGGTAAGTTTCTGTCTTCTTCTCTCCCCCACCCTTTCTGCCTGAAGATGGGAACAGAATCCATCTTCCGAAACGTTTGACATTTATAATGTTATAATTTAGACGATAGACAAGTCCAAAAACAAAACTATTTTACAAAAATCTATGTACTTGCAGTTTCTTGCTCCTGGCTAGTTTAATTTCCTGTTTACGAAACTTTAAAGTAACAACAAAGGAATAAGAGTTTAAGCAGAAAGCAGAGTTACAGCGCTTTGAACATTCATTAACTACACTACAATTTTCACAAATGCATTTACTTTCTTAAGCTTCAATTTCTTTGACTGATTTAACATAAAAAATTATACCATCTCTGTTTGCCATTCTAATGACATCGGCTTGTCCCACATCAGTTGTTCTTAATCCCTTAGCTATTGTTCTTTCAAACTATGCCATTCTCACAAAACGCCTACACACATATATTCTCAAATTTACATACTGCAACATAAGACATTTGCATGTGTAGCGTCTCTCTGTCTGTCTAATAAATTCTTAATGCAAATTCTGTATGTAATGGATGCATGCATTTTACACATACATTGCATACAAATACATACAGGACAGGAACTTCTTACTTTATGACAATGAGAGTGTAAGGCGTGACCATTGTTCATTATGACAGCTAACTACTAATATAACATTAAGTTTGACTTTAAATTTAAATACTAATATTAAATTTAAATAAAGCGTTAATGTGTAAAGCGGATATCAAATACGCTCTTGAAATCTATTGTTCAAACAGCAGAAATACCAGTTTATATAATAATTTTGCCTTCACGAAAGGAAGTGTTTAAATTGATTTGAAACTTCTACAAAACTGGTTACAAATTTTTTAAAATTTATTACAGTAAATCAATTCTATATAGTCACAATTATTTTATATATATAAGCTTATCTAATACCAATCCTGAGCATAATAAATATAAAATCTTTGAATCTGGATACATGATCTTAACAGAAAAAAGTAATTCAGTGATTAACGCACGAAAGAGTCAACTTCCATGTTTCATAAAAGGAGAAGAATTTCGAAATTGAGAGGACTCTGATTTATGCTGTTCTGCATAACGTCTTATTTGTAGTCAAATTTACTCTCTCTCCCTCTCTGTGAAATGAAGCAAAATTTGTAATGTATCAGTTGCATGCGGTGGTAATTGTCACGTAATCGTATAGAAATCTAGTCTTTGCGGTTACATGTCAGATGCAATACAAACTTTTCTCTCTACATGTCGTCAGTATAGCCTTCTTGATTCTGAGTGTTATTTATAAATTCGTGTGCTGCAATCTGAGCACTATGTAAATTATCTGAGAAACTAGCAATGGCGGCAAAGAAGAGAAAATAGGGTACCCGCCTATTGCATGGTTGGGGAGTACTTAAAGCCACAGAACTTTACGACTTCAGATAAACTCCAATAAATTGCATCTTTCCTCTACCCTCTGCCCTCATTCAGACCTACGGAATGTTGCTCATTTCACAGTTTTAACATTCCCTAGGGGGATGGCAAAGACGTATTACCTCTATCGCTTTTCAAGTTTCCTCAGTAAATTCTGCAGCGTCTTTACGGTCTGTCATTAATGTACATACGAAGAGTTCATACCCTTTTTTTCTGCGTCATATAAATGCATAATTTTATCCGTTATTACAGGCCTAGTTCAGCGTTACATCGTGTCGGTGCATCACGGTCCACGCTCACAGATTCGTTACCAATGAAGGGAAAGGAATAATTGTTCTATCGAACAAGAATTTTGCTTCTGGTAACGGTTTAAAACATATGTGTAATATTGGCCATATGTGGTGCATAAATAGTTCAAGTCTATCCATGTAAAAAATTTAAAAGTATTTCTGATAACTTAACCATGTCCCTTATTTGTAATTCAGTCCTGAGGGAGATATTAAAATGACGATGTTGGTCTTCTGGGTGCTGTATAGGCGTAAATTGTAAAGTCGTTTGGCGTAGAACAATGTAAGCACAATCTCACTCAATTTCTGTAGTATAGTGATCGGAGCAACGCAAAAACC